TAATTTTGTACTATAATCTATAACCTCAAATCCAGATAACAAGATATGCATTTATCTTCCAGAGAATATAAATTATTTCTACATCAACATTGAGTATATGGACTCTTATAATCATGTATATACCTTTTCTTTTTATCTTTCTTATTAAGCTGACTTGCAATATGTTCTAGATGGTACTATATACTTATTATTTTTTCATAATAGATATCTTCTAGAGTAAATCTAATATTGGAATATGGCTTCAAGTATCATTAAACATCTGGTAGTGGTAAAAATTTCAATGTAGATTCAACAATATTCAAGATTTATTTATTATCTAATTCAAACTGTAATATGATTCTGCCATAAATACTTTTACAATATCCACATTATTGATATAATTTTCCTGATAACTTTGCAATATTTCCTTTTTATTACAAGGATTATTTTTATAAATTCTTGACAATGCATTAGCATTTCGATATATTTTTTTCTAGACAATGGATTATAGTAAAATTATAAAGCTCTAATCTTATAATCCATCTAGCTTGAGCACCTTTTAGTTCACTAGTTTATAACTATTTCAGGGCCACATGATCTGTAACAAAGTAAAAATATTTATCTTTTATATATGGATAAAAATATTTGATAGCCCATACAATAGCCAAATATTCTAATTCAGTAGCTAAGTAATTCTGCCCTACTTTATTTAGATTTTGACTAGTGTATGATACTATATACTCTCTTTTCTTTTTATCAAATTAAGCTAATATGGCTCCCAACTCTGAAATAGATGCATCAGTATGTATATAAAATAGTTAATTAAAATCGGGCTGTTGTAATACTGATATCGAAATAAGATGATTCTTTAATGTGTTAAACGATTGTTGTTGTTGTGCCATTTATTTATAAAGTTTATTCTTCTTTAATAGTTGATTTAAAAGTTTAGCAATCTTTGAAAAATCTTTGATAAATTTTCTATAATACGAAGCAAGCCCAAGAAATCTTTATATTTGTTGCAAGATTGTTGAAACAAGATAATTTTTTATCTTTTTGATTTTATCTTTATCAGGCTTCAATCTATCTCTTCTGACCATGTGGCCTAAGAACTTGATATTTGATAAGAAGAAAAAACACTTTTCAAGATTCAATTTTAGCTTGGCTTCTTTAAGCTTGTCGAATACTTGCTGAAGATATCGAAGATATTCTTTGAAAATATGCAAATATATAGTAATATTATTTAAATATACAACTATAAATTTATTTATAAATTCTCTTAATACTGAATCCATTAATCTCTGAAACGTAGCAGATGCATTACAAAGCCCAAATAGTATTACATTAAATTCATAAGTGCCAAATTTAGTAATAAGAACCATTTTCTTTTTATCTTTTTTCAGTCATAGCGACTTGCCAATATCCACTAGCCAAGTTTAGACTCAAAAACCACCAAGCTTTCCCAAAATTATCTAAAACTTCGTTTATATTAAATAAAGGATAAATATCCTTTTTTATTATCATTTTAACTTACAATAATCTACACAAATTCTCTTTTTTCTATTTTTCTTAGAAACTATAACTACTAGTGATTTCTATGATCCTTTTATATCTCGAATTACGCCTAATTTCTCTATTTTTAATATTTCTTTTTGTAAGAATTCTTGTATATCTAGAGGAATTTGATATAGCTTCTGTTTAATTAGTGCTGTATCTTCTGTATTAATGTGGTGTTGTACTAGTGTTCCTATGAACTGAACTGAACTGAACTTTTGGCCAAGTTCAAGTTTAGTTCAAAATTAAACTGAACTTAAACTTGAACTTTTTTTAAAAAAAGTTCAGTTCAGGTTCAATATTGAACTTTTAA